GTATCATGACCTTAATATTTGCAATTTAATTTATTATGATTTGTATCACTCAGATTGGCCCTTCTCTATGGAGAAGTAAAAAAGAACTCTTAGTCATTGGTAACTGCATAAAATAAACTCCTCAATATCAATAGCTGTCCTCATTATGCACAGACCTTGAGAATATCATTTAAGAATATCACAGAGTCAGCTGGTTTTGATTAGTCTTATGGTTGAGTGTAAACAAACTCAAAATCTTCAAAATGCCCACATTCTTTGAAATTCAGATTCAATCATTTCTGAACACTAACTTGCTATACTTATTACTGTATGGTGATTTGAATTTTAAAATTAAAATTTCTTTTCCAACACAAGTTGTCATGCATACCTGAAGCCAATTATACTTCACAACATTACATACAAGTTATGTACATTTTAATGTTAAAGGAGAGGTAATGCACCTTTTCATATTTATCACTGCCATTAATAAAAAGATTACAAAGAAAAACTGAACTACTTGAAAATTGTGCCAAAAATCCAACTGTGGTTGCTACCATTTGGAATTTTGCTCAGCGCCTGTCATAATAAAGTCTCAATTCTCTTTTTCTATATGCTTAATCTTTAACAATAAGGATTTCCCCAAAAAGGTGTTTTCGACCCTTTTTTTGTTTTGTTTTGAATCTGATTTTTTTTTCTAGTGATAGCTACAGCAGTGGGCTGTTTGTGAACTACTCTGCATTATTACAGTTTCTCATGTTCAACCAGTTACTGAGTGGTTTCAAAATGGTACTTTTCCTGTTAACATTTATACGTATTTTAAAACACTTTTTGAAAAATGCGGTTTCTGTGTCATCTGAAAAGGCATCAACTAGCAAACTCACAAAATTTAAAACATAGGCATGCTACAGATGCAAGAGTTCTTTTTTTGTATGAGATGGTTAAAATGAGACACTAAGTAACTGATGTTTACATTTTTGTAACAGAAAAAAGTATTTACTTTCAAAAGATTCCCAGATATAATTCATGCAAAACTCTTGAAAGCAAACATGGTAGTTGATCCAGAAAGCAAATATAACTTGCTGATCTTTTCAGCCTTCACTAAAAGAGCAATCACAAGGTGATTAATCAAATACCCCTTTTGTAAATGCTCTCTGCAGTTTCTACTGAGTAGATTAGCAACACTAACCCTTCCCAAACAAATACTCCAGTTTTAATTTTCTGTCAGGCTTTTAGCTGATGGCATGTGGATTGCAAGTGAAGGAGTGGTACACAAAACATGTTTCAGCTTCTAAATGGTAGAAAAATTCCCTGACAACCTTTCTAACTCCAACAGACCATAGCATTGAAGTCCTTATGAAAGACATGAACCATTACAAAGGATAGATAAGCTCAGAATTCTTTGTCAATGTCATTCTTAATGTGTGTCAATGTTGGGTTGATTCTATCGCAACACACTGCAGTACCCCAATTTCAAGCAAGACAAAATAGATGTCTCCTCTTCCACTGCTTAAAAATCTACAGTTTGTTGTACCACTGTAGATGTGGTGCAGAAGGTTAATGGACTCTAATTCCTGCTCCTGTATCTTCCAGGCTTCATTTAGAACTTTTTGAAGTTTTTCTTAACTACTATATAGTAATTTCCCATAACTGAGATCATGATGACTGAGATGATATTTTTTTTATACAAATGTTCGTTCTCCTTATCAAACACTTATGTTTGTTCCCCTTATCAAACACTTGATAATTTTTATCTCTCTCCTTTTCTAGTATTACCTAAGACACAGTTGTTGCTCACAACTAACTTAGCCCACTTTCATAAATGGTTGCCGGATTAATATTCTTTAGTTTAAATTTAAATTAGCCCTACTGACCTCGTTCTCCAGTACAAAATTCAAAAGAATACATTATCTCAAGCGAGGCCAGAAGGGCTAATTTAAATTTAAACAAAAGAATATTTATACGGCAGCCATTTACGAAAGTGGTCTATGGTTGCATCAATTTTTCACCCCTGCCAACTTTTCAACAAGAGCTACAAATGATGACATCATATGCCTCTATGAATACGTCTAAATATATTTAAAAGAGAAGGGATGTGTTGTGCGATCTATATCACGCGAGTGTCCATGCAATTGAGCTCATTAACTTAACATACAGTTAGTAAGAGTTTGACTCCAAACCAGGATCCCAGGCTTAAAGGCAGATCACTTATGTACTAAATGACAGGTAGAAAATCCTTTGGTGTTTCTCTCACTTGATCCAAAACAGCACCTTCCGGGTAAAATTTGTCCAAACGCCGAAAGATATTGGTTGTAAAAAAGTAGCAATTCATAAGAGAATATTGCCAAAAGCAAGTTGATCTCTTCTGCAGGTACTCTAGCGGAATCCTCGCAGCGACATTTGAGATGTAGTCACTCACCACAATCAGAGAAAATGCTTCCCATAATCCCACTTTTTCAGTAATCGTCCCCAGGGGCTACTCGGCTTTCCCTAGAGATCCTCTTGTGGGTAGCGAAATAATGATAATAATCTTTATTGAGAACATCAATTTCACTGATAAGTGATTTACAAAAGAGTCCTCAAAAATTAAAATAGAAGAAATAGGAAAAGCATAGACTAATATAAAATATACAATAAAGGCTGATAGTTTCGAAAGAAACTGTTTGGGGCTGCGTCGGTGGGAGTAACGAAATAATTTGGATATATCAACAAAGTTGAAATGGTAAATTGGCCACCGTAACGATTACAAAAGCTGACTTTTCGAGCGCTAGCCCTTAGTCGGAGCGAATAGAGGAATTTTGGGTTGTTTGTGCTTTTAAAGGCAGAAAATGGAGCTACCTTATTCGCTAGACATTTTAATTTACCCAATCATTCTAAGCAACATATGGCAATCTGCGGTCTTTCCTTGCACTTATGTGGCACGGAAAGCCGTAAAAATCTTGAACAAAAGCTCATCTTTCAAACCGGCAGTCTAAATCCCACAGGGATCAACGAACGCTTTTCATTCCACTAATTTATTCATGTTTTTCTCGTTGCCATGTTCCCACCAATAACGTAGCTCCATTTTCTGCCTTTAAAAGCACACACAACCCACAATTCCTCTATTCGCTCCGACGAAGGGCTAACGCTCGAAACGTCAGCTTTTGTAATCGTTACNCATGTTTATCTTTATTAAATTCTATATTAAAACGATATCAAAATAAATTATTTAGACAGACATGTATAAATAATAAATAATAAGAGTAATAATAATAACAATAATAATATAATACTAATAATGATTTATTGGCATTATTTCTACATGGTAGCTCAACATAAGTCATACTAACCAAAAACTAGCGACTTGCATCATGTTATTTAAGAAGCATTCACAATTTACACAAAGCACTTAAAAACTGTTAAAACTACATAATCTTAACTACTATAGATACCATGAGTGACCATAAACCTTCTCGAGACAACTTAGGAGGTGAAAGGCATTCGGAATATTTGGCGCAGTAAATCAACCATCTTTCGTCGTAAATCAACCGTATTTCGTTTCTCATACTCATCCGTAACGCATATTAATTAACGGTTCATATTGTCAACGGTTCAACGCGTAACTTAACACGGCGTAACTCGACACGTGACGCTTTCGTGTAAATACATATGTGTCCGAGAATTACAAAATTAAACGAGACTTACCTGTAAGTTGAAGTTTGATTGGGATTCTATCCTGTCATCAGTCCGGAACGAAGGAGTCACATGAGATGCGCGCGCATGCTGCCGGTCAGTCTTCAACGTGAATGGCACAGGATAAGGAACGTAGGAGAAGGGTGGGTGGGTTGGAATATGACTCCTTCGTTCCGGACTGATGACAGGATAGAATCCCAATCAAACTTCAACTTACAGTTAAGTCTCGTTTAATTTTGTAATTCTATCCTGTCATCAGTCTACATCACTACGGAGTCACATGAGACTTCAAAGTCCTATGCCATGAGTTATCAACAAAATCAGACAAAGTTCAACAACAATAACGGCATTTATTGTCAAAAGGGGCGACAGATGTGTATCATTGTTCACTCCGATAACGTGTGTCCAAAATTTGCTGCTCTATCGACCGGCTTCTCATAGAAACGTGTAAAAGTTCCAGAGTTGAACCATCCTGCTGCTTTCAAAATTTCTTGTATCGCAAGTCCCTTAGCTTTACAAGACGAAGTGGACGCAGATCTGGTACTGTGTGCAGAATAGGCAGTGATGTCAATTCCTGCTGATTTCATAACTGCGTTTGTCCATCTAGATACAGTGTCCCGCGAAATAGGATCATGAGGCTTATGTAGGTTAAGAGCAACTGGGAATGCTCCTTCCTTAGTGGCTTGGTCCTACTAAGGTATTCAGTCAGATGCTCCACTACAGAAAGTTTTTTGTCCTCTTTAAAGGCTAAAAGTTAGATAGGCTCCGTGTGACATTGATCATATGTCTGCGCTTGGAGATAAACATCATCCAAGTGAGCAACTAGTATGCAGGTGGGCCAGCACTGGCTTTACGTATTTTAGTAAACTTCCGGGGGGCACAAGCTAACCCATTTGGCAGACAGGAAAACTGGTAGGTCTTATTTTCCCAGTGAAAACGTAAATACCTTCTGTCTGATTGCTTGATTGGTATAGAGTAATAGGCATCCTTCATGTCTATGCGTGCCATGTAGCAATTTTGGGTAACCAATTTTGTTGCGGTGCCAAGAGAATCCATTTTAAAATGATAGTAATAAACTCGTTAAACTTTGTCAAGTTTAAAATAAGTCTGTGAGTCCCATATTTTTTAGGTGTTAGAAAGATAGTTGAGATTATTTGTTCTGGATCATAGCTAGCCTCTTCAATTACCCCTTTCGTAAGCAATTTTTGAACTTCCAGATTGATGTTTTTAGTATCATTCTCATTGTGCTTGTTTGTTGGGGAGTTTATGTTTCACTGGAGTGTCTTCACATTGGATGCTTACTCCGAGGACATCAGATAAGATATCCTTGTCACTAGTTAGTTTTGTCCAAGCTGAGTAGTGTAATTTCACCTGCCCAGCTGTAAAATTGGTACATCCGCTGTGAAGGTAATTCAATAACAGTGGCAAAATTTGTGTAAACATACTTACCGAGTTTTGGATTTCTCTCAATTTTTTAACCACTTGGTGGCTCTCTGGCCCTGTTGTTTGCCTAGATTGCCCCGGTTTTTGAAAGGTGGCTTTCCCCCTAAAAAAGTCTTTCCTGGCATATTTCCATTGGGGTCGGTTGCTTGCAGTGTTTTTGGGTTTTATAACTTTCCTCACGTATGATGGACGATCCTCGCAGTAGATAGCGCTATTTGAGCAATAGCGAAATTCATATATTTATTCATATATTACTCATATATTTATTTTATAGATTTTCATATATTTATTCTATCTCATAACTTTCCTCAGTTCACTAGTTTCCCTTGCATCCTTTAGATGCTTGGACAATTCGTCCCCAAAGAGTTGTTGCGAAGTAGCAGGTACTTCAAATGAGCATATTGACTTATACTCGTAGCTTAGTGCAGGCTTAATTTGTTCTCGTCTTAACTGAGACATCTGGGTCTGTACAGGACCCAACATTGCAATGGTATCGGCCAGATTATTTCAAAGCCCTGGTGTATTTTCAGCATTTGCAGTAATCCACTGAAGGGTTTGTAAATTGATAATAGCCGTCTTATTGACAAGCTGCTGAAGATTGGCAATTTGTAAATCAGCTTTCCGCTGGCGGGCATTTTAATTGTGCCCATATCTCCTGATTGACCTTTATCTGTTTGAGTTCAGGGCAATTTGCCGGACGTTTGTGTTTTTCAACAATTGTCTTGATTTTATCGGGATTTCATTTCTTACCCCATCACTTATTGACAAGAGTTGTCACATCCTCATCCAAACCATCATCAGCCAATGAGTTGGGCATCTTTCCTTTGCTACTTTTTTGGTCGATGACCTTTTTAGGGTTTTTATTACGCTCGGTGAGCACTTTGATGGCATCGTCGTCCTCCAATTCATCGCAAGCATACAAGCTAACATTATCATCCATGTGATGAGAGGTTGAGGGCCCAGCCTCCTCCTCTGACTCTGGGTCAGAGGCTGACATGCTGTCTTCACCTCTAGCCTTTCGTTTCTTGGCCGGTGGCCCTTTAGTGTCGCACATGTTCTCAAAAATGGCCGCCTTCTTAGCCATATTTTCGTTAATTGAGAAAATAGCCTTGTTAAGGCTGCCCTCCTGGGCGCTCTGTGAGGTTCCTGAGGTGTCCTCGTGCGATTCATCCATTTCAGGAGCGGCATTGTTTGAATCGCCCATCCTGATGTTATCGCTCAAATATGTGGAAAAATCAAACAATCATGGACTTCCACGTACCTTAAACTTGGAATTTTTGTAGAAAGGATTCCAAAGGAGCGCAGGATTGCGGATATTTTCCTTGGATTACGAAGCAGAAAAACGATGGTTTGAAGATCTAAACCAGCAAGCGAGCACTGACCGGCAGCATGCGCGCGCATCTCATGTGACTCCGCAGTGACGTAGACTGATGACAGGATAGAATTGATCTTTCGTCTTTCTCAAGGTGTGAGCTTGGGACGCCCATCTTCAAACTCCTTATTTGCAAACGCAACAAGCGAAACTTCACCCCAGCACCCCGAGGTTGTAAAACTGCATGTAAACGCCTTTTATTTTTCGACCTCGGCTAGGCGGGTTACCTCACCTGCCTGGGGTTGTCTAATTTCCTAGACAGGCTGTCTGGTTAATGGAGAATTGCTTTAGTAGGTAAAGCTTCTCGAACACAGGCCGGAGTAGTTAAAAAAAAAAAACCATAGTTAATCATTTCCCGGAGGTTATGTTTGACTCTCAAAAAATACTGTTGCTTGAAACAAACCTCGGATTTTTATACCCGAGGTTTGTTTGAAGCTTGTACCCTCATCTTCCTCCAAATTCAGCGGCGGAATAAAGGCGATGATACTGAAAATAGAGGTTCGAGAAAATTAGGGTACATTTCGCAATGGTCGCAGAGACAGCGCCTTAGAGCGTCAACTCAGTGCTGCCCGTGGTGCGATGAGTAGGGCGTTGTGTATCATTTCTTTAGGAATTCTAGCATATTCGCCGAGTGTCTGGCCAAGGCAGTTGACGGCATCGTGAAAGTAATTATCTATTTATGCCAAGATTGGTGTAAAACGAAAAAGCGCAATGATCTGAGATAGCCGACATAGTAACTAGATACCTTGCTCAGAGTGGGGAAAGTGGACGAAGAACTCAGTTATGATGTAAGACTCAGATTCTTTAAAGTCGCCTTCGCAGCTGATTTTTGCATCAAGTCCTTCTTTAGAAAGTCAGGATCCAGAACGCGTTTAAATTGGAGACACTGCAGAGGTGTTGTGTGCAGGTAACAGCTGGAAGACCCAATCAGGGTAGAGTTATGGGCACGAGATTACTCCCTTGAACGATAAAAACTGCTATCAAAGCTCCCAACAATACCATTAAACGCTTCGAACATAAATGAAAACTAGGCAATTTTATTGGAAAAATATATAATTGTCTAACAGCCTCTCAACAGCACACTACTTCCCTACCATCATTTACAATCCGTTATCTGGAGTTTAGATTCAAGATTACCAGCGACCTCTCCAAGACGACGACTTCACAAAGTTAAACTTAAGAAAGTCCACGCTCACTAGGAGGGGTTACCTCGAGATCAAAGTCAACAGTTCGAAGGTTGGATAACGCTGTCCACTGGATAAATCTCTATTCGGTGGATAGCGCAGCATATTTTTTTAACATTTCTACACAGGATAACGATTTATCTGTTGGATAGCATTATCTGCCCTTTGAACGACTGGGCCCAGAAGTTCGAGATAACGTTACTTGATTAAATTAAAGAACAGAATTGCTAACTAGATATCCACCAAACGTTTCGTCTCTGTCTCTATGCGAGGCTATACTTGTTTCTATGAATTATCTTAGTGACTTGTTCCGCAATCGGGAATGAAGACCACTTCAGATACCTTTGGTTAACTTCAGCCACAAAAAGTGACTCTTAACCCTTCAACTCCCATAATTGATCAGGACAGAATTTCTCCTTACAATATCAATATAACTGCAAGCAGACAAGTGTTGAGAATATAGAAAAATATCACCAAGGGGATTATTAATTGATCCAATTTAAAATTCTCCGAAGTAACATCATAAGAATTGTATGGCAGACAGTAAGGAGAATTACTAATAAGATCTCGGGGTGAAAGGGTTAAACGAATGATTATAATAATAAAAAAAGCCCTGATTACTACATGCTGTTGTTAATTAGTACTATGTCTGAATCTATCTTTTTTGTTTCATTTTGCAGTTTGATTTATTCTTAAAAGTTAGATCGCGATACTCAGTTTAGTAAACTCAAACGCTGATACTGCGTTAACACCTTGGGTAATGTAAAAATGTAACTAAACTAACTGCACAGAGGCGCGTCCACAGGGATTATCTTTGAAAAAAGAAACTTTCCATTCTATTATGGACAAATTGAAGGCCTTAACAAAAAAAAAACTTTCTCTCCTATCACGGATAAATTTAAGGCTTGAGCAAAACGCATCACGAAGACTGCCAATTTGTTATTTCGTGGAATTCAAGAGACTCGACCTGAAGATGTCTCTTCCTTAATTAATTATCTAACTATCGAAATTTTATCTATGTAAAAATGCAACTAAACTAACTGCACAGAGGCGCGTCCACAGGGATTATCTTTGAAAAAAGAAACTTTCCATTCTATTATGGACAAATTGAAGGCCTTAACAAAAAAAAACTTTCTCTCCTATCACGGATAAATTTAAGGCTTGAGTAAAACGCATCACGAAGACTGCCAATTTGTTATTTCGTGGAATTCAAGAGACTCGACCTGAAGATGTCTCTTCCTTAATTAATTATCTAACTATCGAAATTTTATCTATCTTCACTTCTATTTGACTGATACATTTTCCAATTGTTGAAGAATTACATATTCGCCCACCATTGCATTAGATTCATCTAGAACATCAAAATAAAATACTAATGATCGTGTGTGAAGACTCACTAAATCAAATTAATTCGGGTAAAATACCTTTAAGAGTTTTATTCACATGTATCCACCCAACAGTCATGCTGGCTGTGCAAGTTCACCGGTTATTTCTTCCATACTTGGTCTCGCGTCAGGCTCTGTTTTCAGACATTCCCGGATGAGAGCTCGAATCGCGCGGTTTGGTACAAGTGCAACTTGTTCTTCTCGTCTTCCAGGGTCTGGCATCTCCAAGATGCACATCTCACAAAGAAGGACACCGTAGCTGTAGACATCAACCTGAATATCAAAAACAACTAATGAGAATGAGAATGACGATGAAGATAACTAATGACGATGATGGAGGTAATGACGATAACAAATCGGCTCAAATATACGAGAGGAGGTGAAATGACTTGGTGGGGAAAAAAAGACAAAACTTCGAGATTGGGATCGTTGACACTTGAAAGACCTTTCGATGATGATAAAAACAAAAACAAAAATTAATAAATAACAAAAAGAACCATAAAGAATTCCCTGGAATGTTTATTACAAAACAGCCACACTATTCAAACTGGATGACCACCACTTAAGACGGTGACCTGGTAAAGAGTGTAAATGACAGGATTATTTCACGAGATTGTTCAAAATATATAGTAATATATTTTGCGATTACCAACAGTAATCGTCTCATCATTCGATTAAGGACCTTGTACCTCATAAGCACTTTCAGGAATCACTTGACTAATT